TGCGCGAACAAGAACTGCAAGTTTGAACACAAGTGTGCGTTTAAACTGCCCTCCGGCCAGCCTTGCGGAAAAAATCATGTAGCGTGCAACCACAAAGTGGAAAAGCCCAGCCCGTCTTGAGACCCGCAGGAGATCGCATCCGGGAGCAATCTCTTGCCGGCAGCCCGGAATAAGCGCAGCCTTTCGCCTCTCTCGCTTTCCTGCGCCTCCTGCTCAGCCTCCCCCTGCACCTCACCTAGTGGTTCTAGGTCCCGCAGCCCCCTAAGGCCCAGGTTGCTAAGCCGTCCTGCCCTGCCTCGCCAGACTCTGCCCACACACCTGCCCAGCCTTCCTCACAGCATCGCAACCCGTCCGACAGCGATGCCTCCGAGTCAGCCGACAGTGACTCCGTCTGCCTTGCCCCGGCCTCGGCTGCCTCCACCTGCACTCCCCCGGCCCGCTATCTACTCTTCTGGCCGCCGGACCTTTTCCAGGATGCCAAGCCAATCAATCAGTCCCTGCACAGGTTCGCTTCCCCGCCTGCCTTGCAAAACTCAGAAGGTCATTGGCATCCTGACGTTCTAGCTTCCATGCAGGGAGCCGCGTGGTCTGGAACCCTCGCAGTGCTATGTATTCTTGGGGACACCAGTTCCCACTCAGCATCTTTCCATCGCAGTCTCTGTGCCCTGCACCGCGCCGCCCACCTTCAAGGTGCACACGTCATCTTTGCATTCCCTCAGCCTTCTACGGAAGAGATTTTCGACATGTACCTGCAACTTGCCCAAGAACTCGCAGCCACGTGCACATGGACGCGCTCGCCTCACCGCAGGCTCATAGGGGTTAGCTGCTCCCTGCACACCAAACTGCACTCGGACGGCGTCCCGGATTTGCATTCCTTGGCTTCCCTCTGCACCACAGATGTGACGTCACAGTCGCCCTCAGCTCCACTGCCTTTGCACGCACTGCACAGCCTAGGAGCGTCCACCTTTCACTGCAAACGCTCCCCCGTTTGCGATGGTGCGGGCAATGTCAGCTCTGCTGACCACATGCACTGCACCAATAAGCCCAGCACACCCCTAGCTACGGTTGCGCAATCCATGCTGGAGTATCTGCGTCAAGAACAACTCCTTAAGCCCATCCTTGCTCACCTGCACGCGGGTTTGCCAGAACCGCCCCTCTCGGAACAACATGGTTCCGTGCTCGCAGAAATTATTAGACTTCACCTTGCTCGGCACATGCCTGCAGCCGAAGCTCTGCGTACCGAACCAGGCCAGCCTTTTCGCCTCGAGATCCTTGAGATGCTCGCGCGCGCCATTGACGATCCTGACACAGGCCTTGTGCCCATTCTAAAAGAAGGGGTTCCCACTGGCGCCTTCTCACCGCTCCCGCCAAGCGGGCTCTGGCCTTCAGCCCCGCAAAACATTGATACGTCGTCCGACCTTGACCCGCACCGCCTTGAGCACTGCGCGGGCAACTGGACTGCCGCTGAACGCGACCCCGCATTGCTTCAGCAGCTGGTTGACCAAGAAATCTCTGCCGGACACGTTGCGCCTTTCCACGGCTCCGCAGAAGACGCTGCAAAGCACTGGCCGCTCGGCACTGCTATCGGCAAACTTAATATAGTTCACGCAGACGGCAAAGACCCCCGCCTGGTTCTAGATAGTTCTGTGTGTGGGTTAAACCCTTCTGTGCACCTCCCGGAGCGTGTCTCCATGCCAAGCGCCCTAGATGTGCAACGCACCTTCTTCGCCTCCGACCCGTTTGCTCGTCTGCAAGGCCTCTCGTTAGATTTCAAAGCTGCGCATAAGGCACAAAAAGTTCGCCCCGCAGAGCAAGGCACACTGCTTTTTCGCATTGCAGACAAGCTTTATCATTACACAGTCTGCCACTTCGGCGCCCGCTTTTCAGCATACTGGTGGCAACGCACAGGATCCCTCATCCTGCGCATCCTGCATTCACTCCTTTGCAAATACCCGCACAAAGCATGGCTATACGTGGATGACATCCTCGCCGCGCTTCTGCGCGATAAGCTCGACCAGCCGGTCGCCCTCATAGTTGCACTGCTTGCCGCGCTCCACGCACCCATTAGCTGGAAAAAGGCACAGCTCGGCGATCAAATCACTTGGTGCGGCTGGACTTTTTGCTTCCGCACAGAAACCGTGGCCTTGGTCCAGAGCAAGCTGGAAAAACTGCGCCGACAGCTCTGCAAGCTTCGCACAGCCTCCAAAATCCTCAAGAAAGATTTGGAAGCGTGCCTGGGACTGCTTAACTGGGCCACCACTCTGAGCCCGCACATGCGCTCCTTCATGTCATGCCTTTATAAAGACTTGCATAGCAGTGCAGGAACCCTCCACAGCATCGCCCCGCAGGCTTGGGCGTCTTTCTACGATTGCCTCGATAACACTGCCAAGCTTTCTTCCACGCCTCTTGGCTCCTGGCTGCCTCGCAATGCACAGCTCCTTGAGGTTGGATCTATCAAAATTCTAAGTCTGACGTGCCCCGCGTGCCGCCTTCCCACAAGCACCAGTGGGTCCGTCTTGCAGACCCCAATCGCACAGAAATTCACCTCAAGCAAGACAGCAAGTTTTGCCTCGCCTGGCTGGAGCTCTGTTTTAAGCACGAGCAACCGCGTAGCCTTCGCACTCCTCCCGTCGCGCCCTGCATGAGCGCCGCGGATGCTTTCGCCGACACCGACCGCATGGGCATCGGCGGCTGGCTCAGCACTTCATCGCACTTTGTTTGGTACAGCGAGATCTTTACTGCCGACGAGGTCCGAGCTGAGTGGCCTCAACTGCACGGCTCCATGCAAAGCTACATCGCTTGTTTCGGGGCATTGGCACAGCTTGCACTCGCCCATTGCTCATGGGCTCTACTTCGGCATAAACACACGCGTTTTGTGCTTCCCAGCGCTAGCGACAACACCTCCGCTGAGAGTGGCGTAAACCGCCTGTTTACGACAACAGAACCGCTCAGCACCTTTTTGCGCCTTGCCGCCACCTGGGCGCACCTGCACCGTGTCCAGTTCCAGGTCGAGCACTTGGCTGGCGAAAAGAACACGTGGGCCGACGCCCTCAGCCGCGGACGCCTGGCCTTCATTAAGCACCGCAGTGCCGAACGCGTTCGCATCAGCCTGGCGCAGCTCGCATCTGCTTCGCACACCGTTTCACTTCGAGGGGAGGAGAACACCTTCCCCCCTCGCCTCTGCGAGGCACAGCGCAGCCTACTGCGCTGACTCGCTCACCGTCGTGAACGGGGAAAAAAACTCTGCATCAGAGCTTTGCCATTTGCACGCCTTGTGCTCTGGCACGTTTCTTGCTTTCTCTCTGTCCATCTCGACAGGTCTACTTCTACATCCTCGTGCGAGGGGGGTTTTCTGAGCCCGCAAGGCAGAGGATGCTGAAGTCGAACTAAAGAGGGGGAAAAGAGCTCGGCAACGCATTGCCCCGCTTCTCCTGTTACTGGGCATCGCTTTGCCTCGCACCGACTTCAAGCATCCTTCGCGAGTAAAAAGAAGAGAGCGCTTCCTCACTCTGTTACTGCATTGCTTAGCAAACTCACAGTACTCTTACTGAGAACGCTTGTCGTGAGTTTGTTGTTTTGGTCGACAGTGTTTTCGGTAAGTACTTGAGCTTGCATTGCTTCGCCCCGCGCCGCATTGCTAGCTCAAGCTGTCGACCCGGATCGCTTCCGAATTTTTTCTTTTTCACCCACCCTCCCAACCCGGGGGACAAGAGCTCGGCAACGCATTGCCCCGCTTCTCCTGTTACTGGGCATCGCTTTGCCTCGCACCGACTTCAAGCATCCTTCGCGAGTAAAAAGAAGAGAGCGCTTCCTCACTCTGTTACTGCATTGCTTAGCAAACTCACAGTACTCTTACTGAGAACGCATGGCGACAGACGCTGCGCCAATCGGTGGTTGGAGTCCCACGCGGCACTCAAGCAACTCCGCCAGTCTACCAATGGATGGGGTGCCATCTTCTTTGGCCTGTCCGGTGAGCGGCACGCCTTCAAAGCTCAGGTCCCGGTCGAAGTTCTCCAGCAGTGTTGTTCGTCCCGGGACTACATCTACTGGCTCGAAGCAGTCGCTCAGTTGATCTCGATCGCGGTGGTGGCGTGAGGCCAGTTCGACTGTTTGCTTTGCTTTGTGGACAATACCGCGGCCGAGCACGCCCTCAACAAAGGGACCTCGAAGAACTCAGCGTTGCGTTGGCTTTTGGGTTCGTTTTGGTTGTGGGCTGCTAAGAGAGGTTTGTTCGTGAGTTTTCAGAGGGTCACCAGTCAGGCCAACTTTTCCGAAAAGGTGTCGCGTGGAGACTTCTCAGAAGCGGAGGCGCTGCAGTGCCGACGTCTCGAGCCCCTGTTGGACCGCGCCTGGGCGGATTTTCTTCGGCTACAGCAAGCACCTGACACCACGACGTCTTGGGACTTCCAGTCCGTCGTCGACTGCCTGTCCGTCTGAACACCGCACTCCAGAGATGGGAGATAACGCGCGGTGGGTGGTTTGTTCGAGGGCGCCGTTGAAAACGGTTCTGTTGCTCCAATCCGCCTGTTCGCAGACAGAACGCCACCACAGTCGTGCACGTCGAGGCGAGAAAGAAGCGAGCCTCGACCGTTTGTGTGCCTGTTAGTACAAAGGAGAGAGGGTTTTGTCTGGTAGTGCACGTGTGCATCTAGTGACAAAGCCCGTCCGACGATGAGTCTGGCCGGTGCGGCAAAGCTCTTCAGTTTTCCCGCCTCACCCGCCCTGACGACTTACCAGTCCGAGCAGCGGTTTGTTCGAGCGCGCGGTTGAAAACGGTTCTGTTGCTCCAGTCCCTTTGTTCGCAGACAGAACGCCACCACAGTCGTGCAGGTCGTGGCGAGAAAGAAGCGAGCCTCGACCGTTTGTGTGCCTGTTAGTACAGAGGAGAGAGGGTTTTGTTAGACGATGCTACTGCAGTCTTTGTTGTCCCTTGAGACTACAGCCGCTGTGGGACCGGAGTGTTTTTGTTCCCCTCGAATCGGAGAGGGGGTTCCTCGGAGGCTCCGCTGAATCATCGCCGCAGATCAAGAAGGCGCTGGCTTGGACAGTCTTAAAGCTGGCCTCCGCATGTCGTTGTGACAGGAGTGGACTTCTCCGTATAGTCCCCGCACTCCGGTCAGGGGTCGAGGCGCATTCGCTCCGTCATGCTCCGTCATGGACCATGGCACTTTGCAACGATGCTTGCCAGGCAGCGCACCATCGTCACCGACACCGTGTAGTCCGTTGTCTCCGTCAAGCGTGTCAGACTGTTCCTAAGACTCGCCATGATGTGTCACTTTGATCGATGGAGCCTGCGACCTGGTGCCTCTTTCCCAGGAATCTAATGGACAGGACCAAAGCCCTGTGCGGTTTGATGTCTCTTGGCATCGCTGACCTTGCCGTGTCTCCTATGTTAGTAGTTGCATCAACCTCTGCGCGATGGGTGGTAAGGTTCCAAGAGTGACGCAGTCTTTGTCACAGTCGGCTGCTGAAGGTTCTGATGACCAAACGCTGGACCGTCGCCAGCTAGCAATCTAAGGTCTTCCTACCCGACATGCACGCGCACACACACGGAGGCTGTTTCTTGATCTGAGATTTGCTGAAGTAATTTGAGCTGGGCATTCAAGCAGGTTGCAGATGAGACGGAGGTTCTGGAGGACATTCTGATGCCAGCTCCATTCGCAGATCACGAGGACGTACACCGTACAACCACAGCCGGTCACGGTCACAGCAGGCTGATGTGTCTTCCCTTTAAAACTGCCTCTCGGGAGGAACGGGTTTCGACTGTTCCAAGCGCTGCGACTGAAAAGCAGGCGGAGCATCTGTGTGTGTGTGTGTGTGTCCTCTCTCTCTCTCTCTTTCTCTTGCTCTGTCTCTACCTCGTTCGAAGCAAACCTTTTAAGAGGAGTGTCAGTGGTAGTTTCTGCGGAAAATGCAGGAAGCTTGGCGCGAACTGCCATCGACTTCCGAGGCGCGCACGAAAACTCCACCTTACGCTGAAACCATTTAAAGTTCGTGGGGTCGGCTACGTGGCGATGCCAAACAAGCACTGGCTCTTGGTGTCGCGATGACCTGGCAGCTATCCCCACGTTGTCGATCGGCAATGCGGGATCATTGAACAATCTTGCATGTTCACACAGGGTTGCAAGTTGTGGCAAGTTGATGCTGGCTTGAAGCCGACGGGTGATGGACAAACAGCGTTCCGTCATGTTCCGCATTCAAAAGCTTCCTCGCATCAGTCCGTGAGTGGCAACTCAGCTTGCTGCTGCGCTTGATGCTGGCTTTGGTGTGAGAGTGGTTGTTGGTCGGTTTTGGGCTCAAGCCCGGACAAGCGAATGACAATCCTGTGACAGGTGTTTCGCCAGGATGCAAGGGCATCGCGAGAAGGCACAGAAGAATCAAGGCACAATATCTTTTGCCATCGAGTCCTCGCGAGAGAGAGAGAGAGAGAGAGAGAGAGAGAGAGAAAGAGAGGGACGTCGGTTTTCTGAAGCACAAGCCAAGCAGGCCAAGCACCAAAGCGGAGCCCGGCGTCCTCGGCTGGCGGCTCACACCATCGTCTCCTCGCAGAGCAACCAGCGCACACACGATGCGGTCTGTCTCCCGAATCGACCGCCGCGTGAGGCAATGAGGCCTCTTCTGTGTCAATGATGCAACCATTTCAAGGCAGGTTCCTGGGTTCCGGACTTGTAAGTTCGCTCTCTCGCAGTATTAGTGCCCCGGCTCAGTTGCAGCAGACGATGAAGCAGACGCCTCAAAAAAGTGTGTTTGCACAAGTTTGCCCTGTGACATGCTTCGTTCCCCAAGGCCCATGTCGAGCTTACGGTCGCTGTTGTCCCACCAAGTCCCGGTGCAGGGCTCAGTCTGCACCGCATGTTGAGATTCGACTTCGCTTGCTAACCGGAATGAGGTACTGAGGACGACCGGCGTCCCAGGCACCTGCAGGGTTCTCGCGAAGGGTCTCGCGAATGAATTTTGCGACAGGCACGATGTACTTGGCGAAGATGCCGTGCGCCCTTCAGTGGAGGCAGCTTGACCACCGCGGCTCCGCCCTGCCATTCGCACACTGCACAGGTTGCATGGCAAGAGGATCTGCCAGGCTCGGTGTACCACTTGATGTACTGCTGCATTGAAAATTAAGAACTCAAAAGGCCGTGGCAGAAACTTTACATGTAAGCTGGGCGATTCCCAAGCTCACCTTTGTGTTACTGCTTCTGGTGTAGTATGTTTTTCCTGTAGCGTCATTGCTTTCTGCTACGTGGTGTTGATTTCTTTGACCGTGCTCGTAAGCATAGTAGACGTGGTGCTGGCTCCATGGAGGGCAGCATGGATCGGGGATTTCTGATGTGCGCGAATACCTTCGGCTTTACCCTAGGCCCTAGGCCCTAGGCAGAAGACCCACAGCGGCGATCGGTCGCAGTTCTGCCGGTCTCGTGTCGCGTGGGGATTTTCAACCGAGGTCCTCGGCGAGACAGCACTTGAAGCGAAGCGTCCTCTCATGTGCACCAGAGTAGACGCCAGCAAGGATGTCGCATATCTTCCAAAAGGCTGTTGTTCTGTCGCAGGCCCGACCCCATCATGCGAGGACACTCCGGCTGTTTGTTGTCTTGCGATGTTGTAGGGTGAGTCCGATTCCGCTGCACTCGGGAACGCTGCGAGGACAATCTTGCGTTAGATGAAGCCGCTGCCAGCACGGCATCCACCTGCAACTCTGTGGCATCCGAGGTAACGGCCGGCATCGCATCATGAATCTTAGACAGTGATCTCAAGGTGTTGCTGTTGAAGGAGGGAAGCCGAGGCGCTTCAGAATTTCGTTGACGAAAAGTTGTTTGTGCTGCCTGAGTCTGTGGGTCTGTGCTCAGATTCACCGTGCGGGACGACAAGCTGGACTTACCTATTCAAGAGCCGGAAAGAGATGCCGAGTGGCAGCCTTATGACCTCTGGTCGCGAGAGCTGCCCGAGTCCTCCGATCTCTGTTTGGACTCGAGGCCGCCAGAAGAAGCTCAAAGCGACAAGGACATTCGCTGTGATCTCAAAGCTTTTCTCGTTTGCCCAGAGTGGAGGCGCCTCTGAGAGATGCCATCTCCGCACCTCCCTTCGGTCTACTCTCCGCGCTTGTCAAGGCCTAGACTGGACCAGCTCTTGACACGGTGACCTGCCAGGCAACAAGCATCTCGTGATGACGGCAGGGAGCGTATGCTCCTCTGACCCGGACGCATCAACAACACCTGGCACACAACTCAATCGTTGCCTTGCCATGGTTGTGTAGAGAACGTGCTTGTCATAGCTGTTCCGTCAAGAAACAGAGGTTTCCTTGACGATCATGATCCAGATTGGCCATTTGCAAGAATGTACTATGAAGGAGATTTCTTCGACATGTGCTCGGCTTCTTCGAATTCTAGCAGATGCTAGCAGATGCCAGCAGTCTAGCAGAGTCCACTAGCTCTAGCATGTTGTGGCAGGACATGACGCCGGGAAATTGTACATAAATCAACGTCTTGGCCGCCGGCAGCTGCCTGAAATCTGAAACATCCGCAAGAAGTTGATTTAGGATCCCTCCGACCCCTCCTCTTTCATTGGGAGGTCGCAAGCTCGCGGGAAGAAGCGCCGAGAGTCTCAGGATTTTGTGAAAGTTACTTTTGCAATCTTCTCCAGAATACTCAGCAACAACTCGAACTGATCAAGATCATGTTTCAGTGTCAGGCCCGAGTACCTACAAGGATGAGGTGGACTGCCTCCGACTTCAGGCGAGATGTGCGAGGTGGAGATCTGAGCGTTTCTAAGTTTGGATTCGTCTCAGGTAGGACTTGATGTCGAACCTGCCCCTCTGCTGCACATGGTGACAATCTGCATTGCCTGTGCTGGGTTGCTCGCTTTTGTTCCACCCAGGCCTACTGAGCACAACTGGCACTTTTGAGCGCTTGCCGCCGATGTGGATAACGATCTTTTGCTGTGGGAACGATCCGGCGACATTTGCGAAGTCATAGCCTGAGCAAGTTGTTGTACAGGGGTTTTTGGGTGAACAGGTCGTTGGCCAAGGCTGGCAAATGTCGGATTGTGTACAATATCTCAAGAAGAAGCAGGCATTCGACCCTGCAAGTACTCAAACCTTATCAGTTTGCCGTCCCGATTCTGCCTTCAAGAGGCTTCTTCGGGTGCTAATGTACATGTCGTATTCCTTTGCTCGCTACTGTGGGTGGGGTCATCCGCACACGAGCTTGTTGGTTGGACGTTGTTAAACATCGAGAGGAGATGTCTTGTCATGCAAAGGACTCTGCAAATGCAAGTGGCCACGAGGTACGCCGTCCATGCTGCAGCCTGCAAATGCTGTATGTAGTATGTCGGCTTGTAAGGCTCATCGTGTAGGTGCCACAGCCGTAGCTGTGTGCGAATGGAGCTGTCTGAACTGTGCACCATAATTACCACGACTTCTCCAACTCCGTCGAATCCTGCCACTGAGCTGATCTGCTCAACCTTGGAGAGTCTCGAGGAGTTTGTGCCAGAGTTGCTGCAGTGCCGCCACATTGTCGTTTGCGATGGTTATAGGCTTGCCAATGACAGCAAGTTCCGGAGTGGCATTGTGACGCAGGAGAGAGCCAAGGCATATGAGCAATATGTGGCTAGCCTTGAGATATTCACGAAGACGAGACCAACGCCTCTGTGGGAATCTGTGGAAGTGCTGCGGTTGGTAGAACGGCAGGGTTTTGGCTTCGCTGTACGTGCGGCATTGGAACTAGTCCGCACGCCTTTCGTATTCGTTATGCAGCATGACCGGACGTTCCTTCGCGGATTTCCACATGTGCTGTCGCTGTTAAAAGGGATGCTGCAAAACCCTTGTCTCAAGATGGTGGGTTTGCCGACCACCACCAACGATCCAACCCGCTACGTGATCCAGGCTGTGTCAAGGCTTGGGCAGATGAAAGTCGTACATCCACCTTTCGAGTCTCTGGTGGTCACATCATCTGAATGTCCCTCCCTGCGTTTCATCCCGATGATCATGTGGCATGATTCGACTCATTTCGCACTCACAAGTTATTATCGCGAGTTCGTGTTTGGAAGACGGCATTTAGTGACGCGTGGAGGGTTCATCGAGGACAAATTGGGACAACAGCAGGGAATGGACTTGCGCTCGATTGGTTGGAGTAGCCACGAGCAATATGGAACGTGATCTTTCTGCACGAAGAATGTTGCAGTTTCTTTTGTATAGGCGTTTTCGCGTTTCTGGTAACTTAGGACTTAGGACTGACCAGAAACCCCAGCCAAAGGTTTTGAGCGGCGCAGCCGAGCACAACGAGCGAACCATAAACACACAAAAGACAACAAGCAGTGGTCTTTGAGCTTGGGGGTCTGTATGCACCATGAGGAAGCATTGGTTCTGTTCGGCATTATCTTGTTTTTGACGGATGCTTGGCCAGGTATTTATTGGACGATGGAGCACTGGCACCTGCCCGAATGGTTGGACACTTGGACGGCAAACGCTACCTTCGACAAGAAGCCAGGATTGCGCTGGAAGCTTCCGAGAGGGCGAAAGCTTCCATGTCTGCGCACGCTGATAGTGACTCACGCGGCCCAGTCGTGGATGAGATCACTCGCGCTTGCAGCTGCTACAGGCAATGCCGTGGCGGGTCATGACATGCCCCCGGACCTCTTTGGGAATCGGTCGTTCTGGATCTCCACAAGTGGCGCCAGCAGGGCCTGGCGATTCGCCTGCAGTGCCGAACACGACAGAGCAGATCGCTGAAGCAGGTCTGGACATAGGCTGAGTGTTGGACAAGCCCGCGAGCCCCTGCCTCCAGGAGCATACTAAGCTCGCGAGGAACTATCTGCCGATGCGAGCAACTTCCCGTGAAGCACGAACAAGAGTCTGCACGAAGAGATTGCCGATAAAACAGGCGCCGGAGTTGGAATGATCCTTTTTGCAGGGGATTGGCATTGATGCCACTGGGCTCACAGCATCTTGGTGCTATCCACAATTGCAGGGATGGCATTGTCACATGAAGTACGTTAGCAATTCAAGAGCAGCGGCAAAAAGAGATGTGACAAACTTGGGCCACTCAAGCAGAGTCGCATAACTGAAGAGCTCATTGTGGCGCATGATTGCGGGGAGGATGATCGCTTAAGGTCGAGTTACGATGTGAACACAACAGGAAGTGAGCTGTAGATGCTATCGCCAGTATGGCATCTCCTGGGATGACCTTCGTCGCAGGCACCAAGGAACACGCGAGGAGCTCAGTGGCTGCCTCTTGGGGTCTGGCTGCCACTTCTGAGATTCTGAGCTGCCGCGCCGCTGATAGTTACGAGGATGGTCCGGTGACGGCAGCGGTGCCTTCTGTGGCAGCACCTGCTCCAGCAGAGGAGACACATCCGAGACTGTCCTTGCACGAATGAGGGTGCCATCGGTTTTAGGACGCTTGCCTGTACTGCAAGAGAGCGCCGCGAACGCCCGCTGCCAGATCGCGCAATTGCCGCGGTGTGGAATGATCGCAGCATGTTGTCTACGTCCGAGGTACGAGACGGATGGATGTGGACATGAAGCTGCATGCCACGCGCCCTGAGTTTGGATGACTGGGACGGAGAAAGCTGAGGAAGCTTCGATCGTGTTGACGAGGTAAGAAGTGTGCAATGAAGACTGCTACTGGAGGCAAATGCAAGGCGGGAATCCGCGCGGAACTAACAGGCTGTTTCCGATGCCTCATGACAATCCTTTAGGTCTGTGGGCAGCTTTTTGCGGGCTGGCGCCAGATCTGAACAAGACGAAGCCCCCTCGAAGCACGGAAGTGAAAGCTTCAGGCAGCGTGCGCATGTCGTGTCGCCTGGTCTTGAACAGGTTCCAGGCTTGAGAAAGGCTGTGTCCGAGGGACGGAGGGAACTTCCGGGCCGGGCCAGCATGCCAGCGAGCCATAGCGGGATTCTCATACACTTCATAGAGGCAGACCATCACAGCCCGTTTTCCAGTGCTTTCAGAAGAGTTTCACAACAACAGACCTCGCGGGTGGCTCAGAGACGAGCGACAACGTCGCATGCTCTTGGCACGCGTTCAGTGGTGCAAAGGCCAGAGCTGGATGTTCTGACACGGGACTTGTCAGGCTTAGGGCTTGGAATGGTGTTGCTTGAGCACTAGTCCAGGTTTTGCAGAGAGCTTGATGGCACGGTGTTCCTTGCTTTGTGACAAGAGCATTTAATGTGAGAAGCTGTCCCTATCAAGCGACCGTACATGCAGCACGGCAGCAACACGGAGCTTGTCTCTCAAGCAAAAGACAAACCTGCTGCTTGGTCTTGCACAGCCCGCCTTCGACTACGTTGTAGATAGCCCGTGTCTATGCTTCAAAGACGGTTTGACAGTTTGACAGAAGCGCAGTATACGTTGCAGTGTGCTTATCCGCCTGGCTCTATTCACAAATGATTGGTCATCCGAAGACAGCCATGGATTGGTGACGCGGGCTCTGGAGGAGGCCGCACATGAACGCAGATATTTCTGGAAGGCAGGTAGCACATTCAGGCACATGTGCAAGCTTGAAAGGCTTTTGCTTGTGACATCTTGCGACATTCGTTTGGCGGTAACTTTGAGTCTGCAGAAGAGCAGACACTGCGGCAGGAGCATGACTGCTCGAGGTTGAAACGCGGCGTGTGGCAGTGACAACCTTACGAAACACCAAAACGCAACAAATACGGCCTTCCCCTTATACAGGCGGATACAGGCGGTGTTTACGACACCCCGACCAACAGGCCGAACAGTGTGGCGCTGTTGCACGGCAACATCGAGCCTGCCTGTCAAGTGGCGGCCCCGTCCCCCCCGCCAGGCCACCCGCACTGGAAATCACAACGCTTTGGTGTTTGGGAGCTTCACGAATCAAACTCTCGCCACAGTGAGCATCTTGCGATAGCAATCGTGTTCTGCCACAGTGCAGCTCTGTGCAGCCCTCATTTCGGACTTCAAGGGGCTGGAGGGCTCTGCAAAGTCGTAGAGCAGAAGCGGGGTAGATGCCGAGGGAACGGTGCACGGCGCGGTCTGCGTTATCCACCTTGTTGGGAATTTTGACCGGCATATTTTCACAGTCCCACAACGAGGGGACATGTGTTAGCTCGTTCGTGCTGCATGTACGTTAGTGAGTGCGCCGCAGGCGGCCGATCGGTGGCCGTCCGAACTCTCAGGCTCCAGCCGAGTGGGCACAGCAGCTGCAGCGTCGCGTAGGATTCGTATAGGTGCTGTTAGGTGGTCCCATTCAGTCGCCGCAGGCGAGCTTCATTACCATGGAGGTGAAGCCCCCACTCGTGGAGGTTCAGACCCGTCAGCTTTGCCTCTCCTTGTGTTTAGTCTTTGGGAGCAAGGCATGGCCTGGAACGGACAGCACCGGGGCAGCGTACTCCAGCCATTTGGACCTGTGCCTCGCTCGGCACACCCGATGTTGTCTGCTGTAGTTGTGTTAGGATATGTTAGGATGTTAGCTTTTGTCAGGTGGAATGATGCAGAGAAGAAGACCAGCGACTCACATGCAAACAGCTTACATCGGGCAGGCACGTAGCCTCTTCCTGTATCCGAAGTGCTTGTTCGTGGCATGAGGGAACAAGTTTGCAAGTTTCGGCTGAACCGCGCGACATCAACAGCTTCAGCAATGGACTGCGTTGCTGGAATCGAATCGGGTGCTAGAACAGCAAGTTCAAAGGCCAGAATGGGCTGTTCCAATGAGTCTAAAGGCTGGTACAAGAAGACGCTGGAGCACTGGGCAGCTCAGGCGTGACAGAGAGCCAACGAACAGCCTTTCGATTGCGACACACTGCACGGACAGGATGCCACGGTGAATGGCGTGTTGGGTGGCTTCCCCGAGACCAGCGAGCCAGACCTCCGAGAATCCAGGCATGCGGTGTGGATTTTCAGATGCATGCAGCGCCCAAGCGTGAATGTGTGGAGGAGATTCCTGAATCTGGTACGACGGCCGCAACGAGCTCAGCAATGTTAGCAACTTGCTGCACCGGCTGCACCTGTGTCATTCTCAGTAGCTGAGGACGGACCCGCCAAGCCAGAGAGGTACGGTCTTGGATTGCGGAGCTGGAATTGGACGAGCCATGGCCTTTGCAAGTGCAGAGGTTTGGCATGCAAGCTGCAAGCGCACTGCATTGAACTTAAGGTCACCGAAGGACTCCTGGTGCATGAGCCGTGGGCTTACTGTGTAACACTGTCGTATACTGTTGTAACACCTGTATTACAGAGCGTTTTTGAGATGGTTTCTCCCGCCCCGCAGGTTCGGCCAGGTTGACCTCGTCGAGGCGAATGCTCGGCTGTTGGAAGCTGCTCGCGAGAAGGTGGGGGCGGTGTGGGTCAAGGGGGGGCGCTTTAAGCGCTTTGGCTCGGCTGTTGGTGGATCTGCCCCCGTCAGATTCGAAATGCCAAAGTGGACCGCTTCATCAACAGCTCGTTGGAGCAATTCCAGCCCGAAGAGGGCAGGCAAGCACTCGGACCGGCAGCACTGAAACAGCTCTTTGGACGCCGAGTGCAGGTACGACACAATCTGGGCTCAGTGGGTGCTTCTTTATTTAACAGACGATGACTTAGTGTCCTTCTTCGAGCGATGCAAGAAGGGCCTCACAAGGCGAGAAGGGAGGGAGGAGCGAGAGCAGAAATCGTCCTGTTCTGATGCTGGGGGCGAAGACTGAGTAAGCGCGTAGATTTAGATGGCTAGCACCGTTGTCCGTGACATGATAGGGATGGCCTCATCTTCGTGAAGGAGAACGTGGTGCTGGAAGGGTGCACCAGAAGTGTTTTTGAGAATCCGAGAATTCATCAAAGTTGACCACAACTGGGGAGAGACTGGCCAGGCAATGGATCGTGGACCGAGATGACAACAGCATCTCGAGGACAGATGCCATGTACAAGGACAGGTTGACCTGCGACGTTCACAACTCTGAAGCTTTCATTCCACGAGCTTTTTGCCAGGACATCTTCCGAAAAGCTGGTCTGGTTCTGCAGCACGAGCTGAAGCAGGCCGGTCAGACGGCCGTCGCATGTCATCCTATCATGGACGGTCAGTGTTTGTACCGCTGTCGGCATGTGCCACGTGTCAGGCGCACTGGCCCTCGGATTTGGTCCCAGTCAAGATGTACGCGCTCAGACAGAAGTAGACTTTGCCGATGCCGATGAAGTGTGCAGCCGTTTCACCTCCGCGTGCGTTCGGACTTGGGCGATGTCGTTCAAGCGGTTGAAAAAGCAACTGAGGCCAGTGTTGCTAGACGTGTTGACGCAAAACGGGCACCCTGACAGAGACTCGATGGCGCTTGCCACCAGTTCTTGGACAACTGCAAGTATGCTGGTGTGCTTCAAGTCATGTAGCGAAAAAACAAGCTCGTGTTGGAACGAGAGCGCCGAACCAGTTCCTCTAAGAACCGATTTGATGTTGCCATAATGCCGCGGCATCTACGAAGTACCTATCGTGTTCAATAGGCTATGGGTGTACACGCAGCAGAGACTGACAGCCACCAGCGCGATGGCTTCGAGCAGTGGAGAAGCTTCAAAGCTGACATCGAAAGGGTACCAGGCATACAGGAAGGCCAGCAGCGGTTGAAGAAATGCATGTTGGACGCAAGTGGCTTTGTTGGATGCAAGTGGCTTGACGAGACCCTTCCGACAATGCATGGCATGGACATGTTCGTGGGACAGGCGAATGACCAGACAAAGGGCGCCAAACCACCACAAGGCATCGAGGGGGCAATGGCCCTGACCAGCCCCAACGACTTGAAGGCCACTTTGCATAAGTTGTCTAAATGAATTTCGGAGTCGGAAGAGCAATTGGCAATGGCGGCTTGCTTGCTTGAAGGTGGCTTTCGAGATGCTGGATGCAAGCAAAGAAGGTGTGCTTGGAAAGAAGCAGGCCCGTAGCTCCATAACTGGTATATCAGCATGGATGTTGGCAGGAGGCTGTTGCCAATCCTGCATGGCGTCTCACTCGCCATGGGCTTGCCTGATTACAAAAACAGAGAGGGTTAGGAGGTCAAGAAAGGTTGAGCCACGAGCACACAGGCCAGAACGTTCATCTCCTGCCGTCAGACAGACTCGTGCAGATCTCGCATCGATGATACTCGTGGCTCATGATGCTTGCCTTTCCCCGTACCTGCATTGGAACATTTTGTGTGCGGCTCTGCCAATACAACAGCCGTGAGAAGAGTATTTCCGCAGCTTCTCGTGTGCACATCTCGGGCATGGTGCTCGCCAAGCAAAGTGGCCACAGAAGGCCATGGTTTTCGCCCCTAGACACTAGCGACTGGGATGTCGACGGTAGAGCGGTCGGCCGGCTGTCGTGCGCACTGCAAGCGAACCGTCGCTGCGTGGGCGGGACCCAATCCTCGCTGGACCAAAATTCATGCGACACTCCGAAACAAGGTGCCAAAAGGCAATTCCCCCAGCCATGGAGTTGTCCCAGCGCTCCGAGCCAACGGCTGTCCTCCCCGTTGTTGGCAACAATATAATTAACGCAAAACGGGGACCCTGGCAGTGAGCTTTTCCAAGACTTGTGCGATGTGTTTTGCTTAATTCTAACGCTACGCAGCCCGCCTCGGCCGCCGGCTGCAGTAGGGCCAGCAGGGGCGCAGAGCAGGGGCCAAACTGCGAAGGGCCTCTTAAAGCATGTGTAATTTAGTTGCAGGGTCAGGGCTACTTGGAGAAGTGTGGCAAGTGTAGAGCAAACACATGCAGCAAAACCCACAGTGGAGCCGGGGGCAGGCCGAAAGAGAGGTGAAAGAAAACGAGCAGGCAGAAGACAAAAAACAAGGGGAAGCCGGAGGAGGAAGGGGGGGCCGGAGGAGGAAGGGTGGGGGGGAGGGGGGGGGAAGAAAACAAGCCAAAAAGAAGTGCACGAAAAAGTCGCAATGGAAAAAACACGCGAGGGCAGGACAAGACGGAAGGGTGGGAAAAGGGGCCGGGGGAAGGCCCGGGGGAGGGGGGCCGGGGAAGGGGGGCCGGGGAAGGGAGGGAGGGTCGGGGGGGGGGGAAGCTTCAACGAGGAAGCAGGAGAGCCAAAGCACGCGAACGAAACATAAGAAGAAAAGGCAGTGGAGCCGGCCCGGGGGGGGGCAGGCCGAAAAAGCCAAAGCACGCGAACGAAACATAAGAAGAAAAGGCAGTGGAGCCGGCTCGGTGGGGGGCAGGCCGAAAGAGGAGAAAAGGTCGAAAAAACACGCGAGGGCAGGACAACACGGAAGGGTGGACTGGCCGGCCGGAGGAGGAAGGGGGGGCCAGCAAGAGGGGGAGGGGGGGAAGGAAGGAAAACAAGCCAAAAGAAGTGCAGACAAGACGGAAGGGTGGGAAAAGGGGCCGGAACAAAACAGCAAAACAAGAGCTTCAACGAGGAAGCGGGAAAGAAGCACGCAAACGAAACATAAGAAGAAAAGACAGTGGAGCCGGGGGCAGGCCGAAAGAGAAGAAAAGGTGAAAGAAAACGAGCAGGCAATCGAAAAAACACGCGAGGGCAGGACAAGACGGAAGGGTGGGGAACCAAAAAAGGAAAACGAGCGAGGAGGGCAGGGGAGGACGGGCCGGAGGGGGAGAAGAGAGAGGGGGGGGGGGCCAGGGGGCGGAGGGGAGGGGCGGGAAGGGCGCGGGGGGGAAGGGGGGGGTGTAGGGAGGGGCCCGGGAGGGGGGGGGGGCAGGAGGGGGGGAGGCAAATTCGGCAGCAAAAAAGGACGGATGCAGGGAGAAGAGGGTTGGTTGGTATTAACCATCAAGACGCCAGAGGCCTTTGGCCTCGGCGGATTAACGCAATATTCAGTCCAAGAGGTTTACTTAGTTTTCCGACTGCTTGTTAATTGAACACGTCGGACTTTTCCTGCAGTTTAGACCCGGGAAGAACCACAAGTTCAAAACACAACCAAAAGAACCCACAAAGACAACAACAAAAGAAAAGCCTCAGCAACATCGATGACAAAAGATAGTTTCCCGAGACTCTGGAACAGGGCCAGGGGTGTCCAATTTCCAAAAGTATAGGATTTTGTGTTTCTTTTTGTTATTTTGTTTTCTTTTTGTTTTGTTGCTTCTTTGAACGTTCTTGTGTTGCTTTTTTCTTTTGATGCTTTTGACTCTCACTTTCTTTCTCTTTCTGTCCCTCCCTCCCCCTCCGTCTTTCTCTTTTTCTTTCCGTTTCTTATATTGACATGTGTACCAACAAAATACAAAACTGTGTCTGTGCGCGTTTCGACGGATAGATATACATGTATCTGAAGAGAGAGAGGCAGAGAGAGAGAGAGAGAGAGAGAGCGAGAGAGCGACCCGCCCCTGTAGCCATTTTGGCTCAAGTACTGCACCTTTGCTTGGGGGTGTGTGACACCTCCTTGCATCGGGGGGCGGCTGGAGGGTTGGCCTGGACTGTACCTCCAGGAGAGCCTATCCAGTCGCCCCAGCGGTGCTTGAGACCAACCGCCTGTCGCCATTGTGCTTAAGAGACCCTTTAGGTTCCAGAAACAGGACGGAGCCATAATCTTGACCGCAAAGTTCGAACCACTACTACTTGCAGGAAAGTGACCTAGTGACTGCAAGAGCTTCAACCTGGACGCTTTTGTGAGGGGGGACACGGAGTTCTTCATCCTCCTCGCTCCTAGGACGCCGGCCGGGCATGGCAAAAAGAACACCTCCACTGGGCGGGGGAGACCAACAACCGGCAGATCGTGACTTGGCAGGGAGACAAAGAAGGTGAAGTTCCCTCGTGGACGCCATGGCGCCGAAAAGGGGGGAAGGAAAAAGAGCGTCGGCTCTGCAGATACGGAGGCGGCAAATATGCCAACAAGGTTACCGGAAGACACACGAGAGAGCCGACCCAATGTGCCGTTTTCATTTCAGCGACGTCAAAGGTCCTTTGGGAACGTTTCCGCAAAGAGCAGCAAGGGGGGAGACTCACAGCCAGTGCATGTTCCCTTCGCACAGATGACACGTTCCGGAACCCGAGAGGGACTTGGACTTCATTTCCTGCCAGGGTCGCTGGACAAGTGGGCAAGTAGAGAGATCTACAGTGAAGCTCAGTGCTGAGGAGAAGGGGGAGTACGAAAGGTACAGAGAGCGCTTTGTAAAGAAGTGCCAGCTGGGGGAGATCGCCGACAAGCTCACCCACATTGTCGACAAGTACCTCCCGGACCCGTCTGCAGAAACGCGTACCTATGCGACACGCTTTCCGCAAAAGGCCAAACGCCTGCTGAAGCAAGCCCGCTTGATCCGGAAAAGGATCAAGAGGAGAGAAGCCAGGGGGAACGCGACATCGTGTCGCGCAGCCGCAGCACCAACACATGGAGGCCGAGAAGATGAGACCGCTGGGGAGGACGATGAAGCCGCGAAACCAAGGCGTGGGGAAAAAAAGGACGAAGCTGCAGAAAACGAAGCTGCTGGGGTCAAGGCAGAGGGGATACGCTCCCATGACATGTTTGAAGATGAGGTTGCCTGGGGGAGCTCAGAGTCAGCCCAAGCAGAGGGAGATAGAGCAAACACCGATACAGTGATGAACGAAGCGGCACGCAACTTGGGGGCGGAAAGGCTTCGCATTCCCAGCCGCAGCCCACCACGAAGAGTGCGAGTACTCCCCAACAGGCATACTAGATGCTAGACAGGCAAGAGTTCACTCATTCACGAACCATGCAAGTGCTGCACAGGTGCAATGATTAGACACTTTGCAGCGTCAATGAACAACACATGTCAGTGTCCTGAGCCACAACACTTCTTTCAGGGTTTTTGGTCTAGACTTCGTGCCCAGCCCTCTCACGCACCTGGCCTGCCCCCTCAAGTCAACCCCGGCACCTGTGCTGACGCTGCTGCGCCTGCCCTGTGCGCCAGCATAGTGATGCGCAGCCTTTTTATCGGGAGCAGCAACGGCTGCCCTGCAAGTTTGCCATGGCGAGCACTCGCCTTGCGGTTCTCTACCATCGGACGATCATGGTGACGGAGAGGGGGGCAACGCTTTCGTCAGGTCCGCGGCAGTGCGCGTCGTCGAGGGAGAGCGCCGGGCCCGCGGACATGGACGGCGCGGAGGCCGGAGGGGGCTGCACGCCGTCGCGCGCCCTGCCTGATGCGGAGGACGCTGGCCCACTACATCAGCCCGCGCTCGAAGCCATCACAGCATCCCAGCGAAGGGTGCTCGGCGCTGAGGCGGCCTTCACAGCAGGCTGGCAGACGCTTGATGCCATAGATCTCGAGGCCACGCTTCGCAAGCGCGTCCTCACACTGCAAAGCGTGCCGGTGCCTTTGCGCAGCATGCCGCGCACTGCCTTCCGAGCTGGGCTCCAGCTCGTTGCGGATGAGAACTCCGCTGACTCATAGTTGCGGGGATGGAAGCTTTTTTACCTCGCCGTCCGCATGCTGCTGCACCGTGCCCCAGGTGAGGCCCGCATCCCTACAGCCGAGCTCGAGCGCGGCTGTGAGCTCTTCCATCGCGGTGAGTGGCCCTGCTTCCTCGCTGCTGCCGAGGCAGCGATGCGAGCCCCTGAGCCTGACTCTGCACATGCCGCCCGGGCAGAGGTCGAAGGCTCGAGCTGCGAAGGCCACTGCACTCGTCCACCTGGGGGACCTCGCCGCCGCCGCACGGGGAGTCGTGTTTGAACCACTTGCGCCGGGTTCTTCCGACACGCTCGAGGAGCTCCGCGACCCTGCGAACCGGCCCCAAGCTCCTTACTGTACGCCCCTCCCGATCCTGACTTCCTCGCGTTAGCGGAACAGTGTGCGCTCCCCCTGCATCTGTTCGTGGGTTTTTGCTGACCGCTAGACGAGGATCGGCCACTGGACCCTCAGGCATCACCACGGAACCCTTGCGCATATTGCTCGACGACGAAGCTAACTGCACACTCTTGCACCGCGCTGCCGAGCGGCTTGCTCGTGCTGAGGTGCCAGCACCGGTCGTCTCAGCCATCCGCGCCGGCCGCATAGTCGCCCTGCACGGTCGCGTCGGGCCTTTGTCGTCGGCGACGTGCTGCGGCGGCTAGTCGGGGGCGCACTCGCGCGGGAGTATGCATCCGAAGTGCAAGCCGCGTCCATGCCTTGTCAGGCTTCACAGCACCCGTGCAGGCACAGAAACGCTTGTGCGCCTCCTCCGCGTCGCGACTGACATGGCCCCGCATGCCACCGTGCTGTCCATCGATGCAATCAGGGCGCTCGATCATGTGTCGTGCCACGCGACGCTTGCTGGCTTCTAGCAAAGACCTAACAGCTAAGACCTAGCTTGCAGCCGTCGTTGCCTTACGTGCACCAACTCTACGCGTCCGACAGCACGTAGACGTGTCATAGGACGCCAGCAGGCAAGCCCACGAGGTGCGGCAATCTGAGGGCGGCGAACAAAAAGCAACCCGCCCTGCCCGTCGGGTCCATGCCTGCCTCGACGACATTTCTTGCGTCGCAGTTCCCAAGTGCATCCGGGCGCCTGCCAGCAGGCACTTTGCGGTCACGCGCGCATTGAACTCAACCGCGCGTCAGGAACACTGCGGGGAGGAGCCCGCTGACATCTCTGACCAGCGCGGCCACGGCGAAGAACCCATCCGGACTGGGGGACAACGTCGTGCGTAGCGGCGATAGGATCCCGGCTGCTGCAGTACGGACCTCGCACCTTGCCCTTGGGTTCGGCGGACATGGGCTGCGCTCAGCAACCGCTGCCCGCCATGCCGCGTCCTTTGGCTCGACGTACTCACCAGCACGGCTTGGCGCTGCCTTTGGCGACCCGGCTGTGTGCCTGCCGTGGTCTGCAAAATCCGCTCGGTGACCACTTCGCAGCCTGTGCGACCTCGGGGGCCCTTGCCTCCCGCACCCTCCCGCTTCAGCGAGCCGTCGCTATAAGGGTCTGCGAAAAGGCCGGCGCTCGCGTCGCTCGCAGCGTTCGCCTTGCAGATTAAGCTCCCCATCTGAGTGCCCGACGCCCGCCGGATAGAGATCGTGTGCAACGGCGTGTCTCTTTGGAATGGGGCTCTGCTGGCAGTCGACACCACCTGCGTCAGCCCGTCTTTCGCTCCGGCGAGCGGCGGACAGGAGCCGATGGTCAGCCATGGTCAGCCCAGCCTCGCCCTACAGCACGCAACGAGGCGTAGGCGTCGCGACACGTACCCCGAGCTTACGCACTCGGCGCGCTGCCACCTCATGTTCGCTGTCGAGGTTGGCGGCCGCTGGGGTCCCGCGAGCCCACAACCTTCCTCCGACTCGCTTTGTGTCTCGCTGGAGCAGCATCATCGCCGTCGCAGTGCAGAGGGCTCTCGCCGTCGCCGGCGCCTTGTTGGCGCTCCCCCGCGACACCATAGTCCCTGCTTTCAACGTTTGCGACTTGCTGTGCACTTGACGTGCCGTTCATCTCCATGATCTTGGTGGGTTTAGTGCTGGACAGGGGGTTTCATCAGTGTTTCATCAATAGCGGGTTTCGACAACATATACTTTGTGTTGTACTGCCGGAAGTACCCAGAAAAGTGTAGCTGATAACCGCATGGTTCCGACGAAAGATATCCCGGGCGGGCACGCTGGAACCCCGAAGGTGCATCGGTCCATTATTGCTGTTTTGCGCCGAATTCGTGGTTGCCCCGGTCGATCCCGGTCGTGTAGTTGGCGTCGCAAGGTCGGCAGGAAGTTCGGTCGCGAGGCATCGCGAGGCTGCCTCCGCTCATCAGCCATCAACGCCTGGTCGAGCCTTTTGGTAGCCGCGCCACGAGCGTATGCTGCCTCGCTCTCCCCCCCCCCTCGTTGCCGAGTTTGGCGATGGCACTGATCAAGAATTACACGAGTTTCTCGCTGATGCCAGAACGCTGGAGGATGTGCTCGCCAGCCGCCTCGGCGCCCTGCGTGCGCCCGTGTTGCCGCCGTAGGTGATGGGACCGGGACCCACTCTGAGCTGTCGGACAAAGGTGCGCGAAAAGAAAAACATACCATCCTTACTGCCATCCTTAATGTGCTAGATCTTGCTGTTGCTGCATTTCTGCGCCGCGCCCCGGGCCAATTACCTAATTACCTCCTGCATACAAGGTGCCTCCCGCTCTCACCGCCAATCTCGCTGCGGACCACGATGCCGCTGTTGCGACCTGCCTGAGCTCTCTCGCGCAATACGATGATCCAATGCCAGCTGCTGCCACACAGGCTTCGCAGCTCGCCCTATGCTACGGCGGACTAGGGCTACGCTCGGCAGCCGCTGACCGCCATGCCGCCTACCGGGTTTCCTGGCTCGACATTTTGCCCGTGATCCAAGCGCGCTCCCGAGCCACCGGCATCGGGCGCTGCGAGCGCACGGTGGGCCCGGCTGAGCTCCCACGCCCTGCACCCAAAGATGCCGGTGCGGGGCAAGGGGCAATCGCCTCCGAGGCTGGCCGCGACCCGTGTCTGTGACAATCCTGTGACCGGCGCGCGTTCGTTTCACTATGTTGCCATGTGCGTGTTGCCGTCCCAGTTTGGGCCGCACGCCGGCTGCGGCCTCACGGTCCGCCCCACGCACGAAGCAGTCACCATCCCTCCGCAAAGTTTCCGGTTCTTCTGCTCCGCCGCATCCGCCGCCTGCGCTGCGCTTGCCCGTGCCGTAGGCTGCTTGACCCGATCGGCGACCATCGAACGGCATCTGCCAACCCCGGCACCTTGGCTTCCCGCGCCCTTCCGTTCGAGCGCGAGTCGCCCGCAACATGGGCCTTGCCGACATGAAATCTTTTGTTTCTGTAGCTGATGCGCGGCGGATTGAGAGAGTTTGCAATGGCCTGCCCCGTCACGCTTTCCGGCGAGCTGCGGCAGGGCGCTGACTCTCGACCCAGCCTCGCTCCGAGCCTCGCTCTTCAGCTCGCAACACGGGATAACGACACACACACACACACACACACACCTATTCCGATTTTATTTTCCAAGTTGCGTCATGGTCGTTTAGCACCTCTGCTGGAGCCGTGCTTGTCACATGACCACGCTGGATTTCGGCAGGTGTGCCAAATGCTTACATCCAGATGTTGCATGTGCTATACACATCGCAAACGGGTTGTTTGAAGGACAGTCAGCGATTCTACATTGACAGGGGTGTGTTCAGTCCATTGCTTTTCAATACAGGTAATATAGGGTTGGATTATGCAATGAACTCATGGAAGATGCGGTTGGGTCATCACGGATGCCTCGAAGTATTACACTCCAACCAAAAGTGCAAATATTTGGGGCGCATGATGTCTGGAGACTTTCGAAAACGCTCTGCAGCTGAATTCGCTCACCGTTCACATGTGGCATGGGGAAAGGTCATATACCACAAGCACCATTTTTTATTCTGCAAAACAAGCACATTGCAATCCAAAGTCGCTTAAGGTTTTTTCGATGTAGTAATTTCTCCGACGATGCTGTTCGGATCGCGCACTTTACCTCTGACTCGAAAGCAGCTTTGTGAGTTGAATGTGTTACAGAGACGCATGTTACGTTGTATTGTGGGGTGGCGTCGGGTAGATGGTGACGAATGGTCCTTGCCGATGCGCACTGGGGGTGAAGGCGCGCAGTCCCTCCTACCCCAAGCTTCCTTGGCCCGTAGAGCGCAGGTAGCACAGGGACCCGGACGTCACGTTTCGCAGACGTCAAAAAGGTGCGTGAGAAAAAAAAGGAATGGTCGGCAACAGTGCGACGCATGAATGACCGCGTGGCATCTGCACTTTGTCAGCATCCTGTGACCAAGTGGGATGAACAACTTTTACTCCGGCAGTTCAAATTCGCGATGTCGGCTGCGACTCACAGCCACTGGCCAAGCATCAGCTGCCGTTGGATGCCATCATTGAGATGGCAATCCAATTTCGCTCAAAAACCCGTAAGGGGCATTGGACGACCCCCAACGCAAAGGGATGACCGATTAGCAAATTTTTCAGTTCAACATTTACAATTCCCAACCGAGGTATGCTGGATAGATGCGGCACGCAATACACGTGAGTGGATGTCTCAACAGGCACAATTTGTAGACATGTTTAAAACATGGTAGGATAGCAGACTCTTTTCACTTTTATGTCCCGTCTCCTAATAGGACCGTAGCTTGACTCGAACGGGCAAGATCAAAGTCAATCCCGAGCTGTCGCGCTCGCCGCGCCGGAGACTGGTGGCCGCTGGTGCCCCAAACCGTCCAGTCTAATTGCGGCTCCCTCGTTGCACAAGCGCGCGCCGCGAGTGCGCATGCTGCCGTTCGGCTGCGTGCAGCCTACCATTTTTTTTTTTTTTTTTCGCGCCTTTTGTCCGCCTGCCAGGTGCCTGTCCCCATACGCTGCCAGAGGCAGGCTGACTACCGTCGCTACGGCTACGCAGGATCGTCGCTGCCAACTGCTACGAGCGCAGGGGCAAGCGACTAGGGCCCGCCGCTGGTC